TTCATGAGTTTGAGAGAAATTTTAAAAATTTTGTGGCAGATACGTTTCTAGATGATGGAAATGCTTAAAGTTTTCCTCGTACGACAGTTATATACCTATTATTACAACTAATATATAAGCACAATACTTAAGTCCAAGAACAAAACTCAGCTTTCTAATGTCACTATAGAGAAGACTAATGACTAATGCGCTATGCAACTGCGGAGACTGGAGACTTTCCGTTGCCTCATCCACTATCCACCCTAAAGACTATTTTCTGTTGTGAATGAAATTCCATCGATTTCTGTAGCTAATACATTAACAAAGAAAAAGCTTACTGAAAAATTTTGTCTGCACAGAGTTTGCTTCAAAATATACATTCCAGAGACTAGTGGGATCTCTATTTGATCTAAACGTAGTAATTTTAGGTCTTTCCTTAAACTTTGTAGTAAGCAGGCTTCACTATAAAACTTCTCCAACCTCTTCTTCTTTTCCTTTTATGCAGAAAGAACAGCTGAGCAAAGAGGAACTTCCACATCATTAAACTTTGTCTATTCGCAAGAGCACCAAGTCTAGTGGAAAAATATATATATATATATGGCACGCTGAGCCAAAATGGAAGAGTTTTTTTTAAAATTATTATTTGTTTGTTTTAATTTGGAAAAAAAGGTCCAGATCAACCTTAGCTTTATCTAAAGTCGGAACTCACGAATTGTTTGTTAAATCTATAGATAAAAAGGGTGTGGATTCTAAGAGCAGTTTCCTGGGGAAAATGAGTTCACATCCTTTGTTTTCTTAAAAACTGATGAGGGACAATGAAATATATATATATAACTTCAGCGGTGTGAAATGTATAAAAGGCGAAAAATGTTAGTAAGAAGAGAGAAATAAAGGTTTTTAAATGCAGAACAATGTATTGTATTCGAACTCATAATAATTGCTATAATAATCGTTCTAATAATATAAAAAAAAATTATTTTCTGTTCATGTTTGTTAACAAAATTACTGTAATTTTTATTATCAAAACACAATTTTTTTTACACTTTTATTTATATCATAAGTCTCCGGTAGATGGCAGCACATTTCGACAGCTGAATACGAAGGTGAGCTGCAGAGATCTTTACCGACTACTGAAACCAAGGAGTGAAGAGATTGTATTGTAATTTTTTCATCACAATGATTTTCAAAAGCGCATGCAGTTCGATAAGAGCATACAGATGTTTCACGTTTATTTCAATATTTGTGAAAATACAAATTTGAGGTCTTTATGCATTTAATTTAAATATTATAGAACGATATCTATTTACTTGTCGATCTACTCTGGAAAGAAATCAAAATATTTCTTTCTTTTTACAAGCAAAAATATATTTTTAAAAGTTATAAGAGGACGTGAATTCATGCAAAATTCTGCACAGTTGTTGCATTTTGTTTGTTTGTTTTAATTCATTAATGATTAAGTATTTTCCTGAGAATCAGGAAAATACTTAATCATACCTGATTATCAGGAAAATACTTAATTAATAAATAATTAATAATAATACCTGATTCTCAGGAAAATACTTAATCATAACCATTTAATTTTAAAGCCTCTTTATGTTAGAAGAGGAACTTTTTATGGATATCTTAAAAGTTTTTCTTGCCGAAAACTTGCTGTTTAAATGCTCTTTGTCCATAATATTTGTTAAATTATTTATTTATTTTGTGTGTGACAAAATTGGGATCCTTTTCATTTTTTAATTAACTAGTCTCATAAGGTTTTTAAGTAGGGTAAGCTATTTTTTACTCTTACTAATATTTTTATACGCATAAAAGGAGAAATTTTCCGACAATTTATTTTTAATGGTGCTTATGATGGAAGTTCATAAAAAAACGGGGATTATTTTGTAATATAATTTTTTTCCCTGTAGTTTCGATATCAGCCTTAGGCACTTTTTGAATCCTTTTTGAAAGTTACACAGTAAGATTTAAGTAGAATTGAAGATAATGTCGAATAGTTTCAATAAACGTTACTTCAGAATTCTCATTTATTAACCTGAACATGGTTTGAAAATAAAAGTATGAGTAACTGTGAAACACAGGAGGGGAACTCAATACTGACACAGACTCTACTGCAAGTTTCCTCTCTCTAAACCCCATTCTTAAAACACGTTCCCTGAAAATAATTTCTTGATTTTCAATTACCCTTAAATCTTTTGTATACTTTCATGCACCTGAACCTTCAGACTTGCTTTCAGAATTTTATCATAAATGAAATGTGTTTAGTTTATAATGCGCAAAAGGTTAGTCTCTGGTTCATGCTATCAAACAAGCTTAGTTCCTTTGCTTCAAATAAAATTCTTTCCTTCCATTCTATGATACCATACAGAAAATGCTACATAATGCAATGTAGAACTGTATTAAGATTAGAAATTTTTTAATTATTTATTTCAAAACAATAATGAAATGGTATTTTTTAAAGAAGTAACCCTGAAAAATGACACAGAAACTATTACACGAAACTTTAAATTTTGGTAGTCAAAGGCGAATATTACTTTATGATTTTTAAGTATTAGATACAAAAATAAATCTATCTCCCTGAAATTTTATATGAAAATATATCTGAAAATTTATATATAAATGCAGCAATTGTGAAAGATCACTAAAATCACGAAATCTTGCACTTTCAAACATTTAATTACATCCCAGGTTTGAGAGTTTGCTGAATCACCTTAGGAAGAGGTCACTTGTTTCTCCCTGTCCTCTCTCATGGAATCCTTAAATTAGACACAGCGTGAAGAAGAAGACAAGAATTAAAAATTTTAGTACCAAACTTCAAGTTAAAGTAAGAATGAACATTTGTGTTTCATATTATGCAGTTTAATATCAGAATATATATTGTATAATATTTAGGAATTACCTCAACAGTCCTTTTTCTCGTATCAAAGATATTATTGCGTCCTTAAATGTAAAAATGAAGATATATTATGCGTTTTATTTTAGCAATTAATAAAGCGCATAATATATTTTAGAAATTATCATTTATTAATCATAAATGTTTCTAAAAACTAATTAAAGTGACAACATATGTGGTACCATTTTCTTGGAAATAAGAAACTTTGGTTATTTTTGTAATTCTTTGATTTATTTCTAAGTAGACGTTGCTTGGATCTGTTGATAAGAAGTTTGTATAAAAACGCATGGTAAATAAGGATATAAATATGGCTTGAGTGTTTTAGATACTTATACCAATGTACGTCGGTTAGGGTAAGTATGAAAAGATTCGACCAAAAAAACAGGAGGGGCAAATAAGGTAGAAATAATAAACGAGAAGCAACATTTTAAATGTTTGTTTCACAAAGCATCAGTTATATTCAGGTAATCATACTGCTAGGTTATATTCAGGTAATCATAAACAGAGTATTGATGTTTCGAGAACATTTAATAAATATTATTTTCATGTATTTAATTTTGTGTTTAGTCAACGGATAACCATCCAAACAAAAACTGTGAATGAGACAAAGAAACATTTATTAAGTTAAGTAAATTTATCAGGCTACGAACATTTCGAGAACAGAATCTCATATCCTGCTTGAAAATTATTAATTAAAAATCTTCGTAAATTTCATATACTTATAACATTTATTATACCACGGTGAAAAGTATTCCCCCCTCCCCCCAAAAAAGAGTGCTAACCTTTTATTGTATAAATATATATCAAAGATTTTTTCGAAAGTAATTATTTAAAGTTTTTAAATTGAAAAACTGAGTCTATTATTCTTTAATTAATGTCTGCTTTTTAATTTTTATATGTGGCTTAAAAAAACCCGTTGAAACAATTATAAGATATTTTCAAGATGTTAAAGTCCATTTTTGATACTAGTAGAATTAAAAGAAAGTTTTATAAAATGCTAATTTTGTTAATCAACATTTGCTTTTATACTGTTGAAAAATTAATTTTTTCAAAACTTATGCTTCAATGAATTGTAAGCATCAAGAAACAAATAACCAGTTTAGAAATACAAGGCTGCTTACTGATCTAAAACGTTGTACTATTTTTCCTTAAAAAAAAAAAAAAAAAAAAAAAAAAAAAAAAAAATTAACGAGCGTGTTTGTATCCCATCTCTTTCATCATCTAGTGCTCCATTAAGATGGAAGCTTTTGTGTCTGCATTTTCCTCTTTCACATATTGTTTCATCATATTTCCTGTAAGTTAAATATATTGTCACTAGATGGCAGCACCATCAGCATTTTTTGCATTCAAGAACTGATTTTAGGATTGCATGTATAAATGAATCGCTTTTTTTAAAAGCAACACCCCAGCGAAAAGTGCCCTGATAATTTAGGGAAAAAAAAGTTGCAGTTTCTATGCCAAAATTGCAAACGATTCAAAAGCGATTCTTTTCTTAACAGAGTTATGACAGCGTATAAAATAACCAGGAAAGTAACTGCATTAATTTTCAAAATACGTTATTTCTTCGAGAGAATAATAATAGAAATAATGCATAAAAATTATTGGACTTAAAAAAGTATTATTTTCGTTATTCCGAAGGCAATCTTGAGCACTGTATACGGAACAATCAGAACTTCAAATTTGCTGTAGAATGTCAGATATTAAACGCTTGAAATAAAGAACTTTACCAATTTCATAGGCTGTAAGTATAATAATATTTTTATATATTCTAAGGTTTAAATCTAATTATTCATTTTTACTTATCTTTTTCAAAATTTTAATATTCAAGAACTAAACTTTCCGTTCTTGAATTTCTGTTAAAGTAACTTCAAAGCATAAGATTTCAGATTACTAAGTAGCTACGCTATTAATCTCTATCTGGAGCCTTAAAACCTCAGACTCCCAACACACTCCGCAAAAGCAAATAATATTTACCTCCCCCGGCACGAGCAACGCCAGCTGTGTCACATGACATGGGTCGGCCAATGAAAACCCTCGGAAACGCTTTCTCCTATCGTTTCTTCTGTTTGGTGAGCCGCGGCGACTCGAGAACGAACGAAAGTCCAGCTCTTCCCCCTTTTTCTGGAGCGCACCCCCCCTCCTCGGCCTAGAGTCTCTTAGAAACCCCATACATGCGATGCTTTCATACAAGAATCTCTTTCAACGTAAATACGCGCGAGAAACTCTGGATGGGGCCACTTCTTTACTATTTGGCCTTCGCAATCGGCAACATTTTGGATAACTCATGAAGCAAGAACTGCACTCGAACATAATATCATTTAGTGGTTATAATGTGCTTTTTACAACTTAAAAAATAAACAATTGTTACACTGCGAAACACATGAGAGAGAAATTGATTAGTAAAATCATACTTTAAGCGATCAAGTTCCACCCTCTTTTCGTCTTTTCTACTGATGGCGCAACAGACGTCATGGATAAACTGCAGGCAAAGAGTGTTTGGAAATCTACTCGTCTATAACTTAAACTGAGAAAAGAAGATTCAGCCAGAGAAGAAGATGAAAATAAATTGGTGAGGGAATTGTCTTTACCCTTAGACTAGGCACTTTTTCTTTTATCTTTTCTTTTTCTGTTCTTTTCTGAATGAAGTGATTTATACTAATTTGAAGAAATAATACTTTAATTGAACTATTATTAAATTAAAATGCTAGTAAATATATTAATGATGTAAACTTAATGCATTTATTTGAAGATCTATAGATAGATTAAAAATAAAAGGGTATATGCAAAATTATCAGATTTTTGGAGTAGCAGTCTATCAAATTAGTATTATTACTTAAATTGTTCAAGCATGTGAACTTTAATTTATGTGTGCTGGATTATTTCGGTTTTTCGATGCACTAAAAGTGGTGTTGTTTTTGTGCTTGCCGGTCAGTTTGCTGATCACGTGATTTTTTTCTCCTTCCTCTTCCTCTCTTTCCCCTTCTTCAATGATGCATTAGGTTTAGCGAGGAAGAGGGATACCAGACGGTGGCTGAAACGCGGCCGTCTCTGCTGCCGAGCGGCGGGGAGACCATGAACGGTGGCAGCGGCCTGTACGAAGAATCCAACACCAGTAGAAACAGCGGAGAAGCCGGCAATAACAATAACGGTTCGGCTCTGCAGCCTCTGCACATCCCTGCCAAGCGACTCACTCCGAATAGCGGCAACCTGGCCGTCACATACGCCCCGACGGACTGCGGTGGTGGAGATCCATCGGCGGCGGCGTCCGGGGTCATCCGACATGGAGGCCACAACGGACAGCCCGGCTGGGGTGCGACTTACTCCACGGACGGTCATTCAGCTTTCGTCGACGCCCACCACGTGCCCCAGTATAATCATCAACCCCTGTGCAATGTACGCGATAGTGTTACCGCGGCTGGTTACTACTACAATGCTGCGATTGACAGAAAGCCACCTCAGACTTCTTCCATTAAATTCTGGTCTAACTCATATGACGCTGGACCCAGCACAGTCACTCCAGTACCTACGGACACATGCCAGTCATTCGCACCACAAACGTGGTGTAACTATTCACCATATTCAGGCACAAGGGTCCATCCGGGACATATGGAACCTCATACACCACAGCCTGTGTCCTATTTTCCCACAGCCGAGGACAGACCCAGGGTCCCTGGCTCTATGGACAGTGTTTATCCACAAACAGATGCTTATGGCTTGCGGAGTTTTCCCACCGATGTACATTGCGCTACTACCTACGTCCAATCTAGCTCAGGTAAGACAATTGTATATATATTTCTATGATTCTGTTTACTTTTTTTGCATAAAAACTCATAACAATTACAATCGCAAATAGCATCACAAGAAAATTCTGGCTACTTAGATTTCATGATCTATTTATAAAAGAGACTGAAACAAAAAGAATAAGATAAAGATTAATGTTGGATCCTTCTTTGCATGATAAGGATACAAATCATAGAAATTATAAGTAGTCTTCAAACTCCATTAAATAATTATCAGTTTGTTCATGTAACTGCTACTGAAGGTTTTTAATTACATTAGTTTCAGGTGACATTAAAATGCCTCCCGAAAGTTCATCTTCTTTATTTTAGTGAAGAATGACTAGAACTTAATAGCTGAATTTTGGACTTGAGGTTTCAAGTAGAAGTTGCCATGCTGAATATTATATTACCATATTAAAAATTCAAGTAGAAAAATACTTTCTCTGTGTAACTCTTTCGTAGTAGCCTATTTTTATTCTGCTATGTAGAATTACTATTAAATAATGCCATGCTGAAGCTGTAAATTATGTCATTATGATGTCAAAGCTATTTGAAATTTGTCCCAAATTTGCTTCGTATTTCATTAAATATGTTAGATGAATTGCAAAGAAATGAGCATCGTACTATTTTGTACGATTACGCAATTTTTAACATTAGTATATTATATATATATATATATATATATATCCTTGGTAGAAATCACTTTTATAACATATGCATTTGTCAGTATCTGTACATGTATGCTAAATTATGTTTTAAATTCATAAATTAATATCGTGGAAGAAGCATCTAATTTTTAAGAAATAAAAATTTTAGGTACTTTACTGTTAAGAAAGCGAAAGGTTTGTTTCCGGAAAAGAAAACGTTTATTGATTCACCGAAGCATCCAAGCGTTAAAGTTATACAAAAATCAAAGACACATTTTATGTGAAAAGTGTAGTCGCATAGCATATTAAACTATCAATAACACAGTTGTTATTACGGCTCGATTAAACTCTTTGTCACCCGACAGAAAGCATGATTTAATATAATGAAGTATTGGAAGTGTAATGTCTTCAAATAACGTTTAGTACGTGACAGTGACGATAATTTGAAACTTAATAGCCACCTATTGCTTAATAAAACCAACCATAAACGCATGAAAAGCCGTAGTCATAAAAATGGGAATAATAATGAGTTTTTGTCGTAAAATGCGTGAATGGAAGAACATAACTCGGACTGCATGCCGGTTTAAAGGAATGGTCTTGTGTAAAGTTACCGGCATCTTTGTTTATTTATTTTCTTCTGGTTTACGAATGAAATAGAAAATTTTTGAAATAAAAGATAATAAAATGGTTTTAGAAGCTTTTATAGATGCAGGTTTGTGAATATTATATTTGCTTATATTTTCTCTTAATTATATTGCATAAGAAATGAAGTACATTGTATAATAAGAGAATGCAATCTTCTAGTTTTGAGATTATAAAGAAAAGTACTATTCTTAGTGGCATTATTTGGAACAGTTTACATCAGGATGCTTCATTTTTGCCAATAGGAGATGGATTTTATACTTAGCAAATTGCAATATAAAACAATTTTTTATATCGAAGATAGCAATTTAAAATTTTAATTATTATAATCGAACTTTACATGTATTGCATCTATTATGCATATAAAAGTTGAGTTATGCTCTTGTACATTTTTACATAGTCGTAGATAAACCACAGCAAATGAGCATATCCTGGAAACTGTAACTTTAACAGCTTTTTTTTTTTTTTTTTTAAATTAATACATCCCATATTTATAAATCAATCGGGAAAATCTCAGATATACGATTGCACCCTCCATTGATAAAATGAAAACCCTAAAAAATGAAATAAGGAGAAAATGTATTTTACTTCCTAAATAACTTCAATAAAATGTGTTGAATACCTTATATAATGAAAGAAGTGCTTATGTAGCGTATACGCTGTAAAATTCGTTTAGTGAATTATTATTTATAATTGAAAATTTTAATATGAATTCATTTTATTGGACATAATCTGAATATGAGAAAAATGAAGTGTGCTTCCAAAGTATTTTGTAATCTGTCTTACCGACTCTAATAATAAATAAATGCTTACTTGACGAATTTCATCTGTGGTTTTAAGATTCATTTGTTCTCCACTAGACGTTACAGATTAAGCATTTTAAGATAAGTATTGTGCTGATGCTTAACATATCATAGTCATACATCTTTTCGCTTGAATATTTAGTTTTCTAATTAAGTAACGAATGCATGTTATGGTACAGAGGTAATAGAAATAATTCTCATATGTTCATGAATTGCAAAGGAATTCTCCAAAAATGTGTTGTACATTGAGCTCTCCTATATTTTTGTTATGTAGAGCGAGCATTTAATAGATTCATTGCAATATTTCAGTAAACATCGATAAAAACTAACCACCCAGTGTATACATAAAATAGTGCTCTATTTTTGAATTGCATTACAATCGGGTTAAATTTATTCTCTGTCACAATATCGATGAATTGATTTTTTTTTTTGACATAAACGAATCATCAGTTTTAGCACTTTTTAAGCGACTTACTGTGATAAAAGCATTTAAAATATACAACTGCTATATTTTGCTTACAAATTTAAGGAAAGAGTTGAAAGACCAGAAGAGACCGTTTTAAAAGTAATAAATTGCCAAGAGAAATTTGAATTTTTGACATTTATTTACCATTATAAAAATAAAATTGTTTTAATGCACCATTTTTGCTGTTAAAATTTACCCTCAATTAATAAGAAATTTAATTAATACAAATTTACGTATGTTTATTTTATTCAAATAATTCAAAGAATGTTACCGATGGATACTTTTTTTAGCATAAACTGATCCTTATTTTTAAAAATGGGCTATCAGTTACTGATAGGAATAAAATCATTTAAAATATACAAATGGCAGGAGAGAAAAAATTATGGACACATAATTTTATTGTAATTTTTTAACGCTGACATTATTATGTAATAACAGAGGCTGGTGAAGAAACTGGCTGTGTGAATGTATGATTGTAAATTATTACTAAAATCTCTCCTGTTTATCGTCGAGACGTTGTGTTCTATTTTTTTATCAGGGTGGTCTGAAGTCGAAACCTAAGGCGTCTGTTAAGAGTTGCCGCAAGGGGTGGGAGAGTGCCCCTCCTTTGAAGGGTAGTTACGTGTCAATTGAGTAGAAATTCCCTTTCTTTCTCTTTTAGTTGAAAGGAAACTAGAATCTCCCGGTATCTTTAGCTTTAAAGCATAGAGGAAATTTTTTACCAAAGATACATTCGAAGACATTTCGAATCTGCCTTCTTAGTAAGGACATGAGGTATTTTTCACCGGAAGATTTCTTTTTGAAATCTTGAGGTATTTTTTACCGGAAGTCTTCAGCAAGACATAAAACTTTAGTCAGTTTTATGTCTTGCTGAGAATATTCTAGTAGCAGAAAAAATAAACTGTAGAATTAATCTAAGTGTAAAATATGTATCACTATGAATGAAGTTGTTATGTCAGCAGAAAAAATTGCTAGAAATATTTATGCTTGAGCTGATGACACGTTTGCTATATTACGTGAGCGCGCATGCAGTTTGCAAGTTATGTATATGTATTTTAGTGATAAAAATGCCAAGCATTATTCAGTCATTGGAAACTTAAGGACCAACAGATTTACATTTAAGGACTAATAGCATTTACTGCTTGAGCAATGCGTGAACTAATAGAAATTTTTAATAGTTGGAATCAGTTGCTTCAAACTGAATCACGTGCATTTCGGTGGATTAATTACTCAAAATATTGCGGGAGAAAAAGAGATAATGAAGCTTTTTAACAAAATAATTTTTATAACCATCTAATACACTAAGCTGTGGATGGTTAAGAATTCAAAAATCACTTATGACTTAAAGGCAACTAGAATTTAAAAGTTCAAAATATGGAGTTTTTATTACGGAAGTTGGTCCCGAATAAAAGCCCCAAAACAAAAAGTTGCATCTTAATTTGGCAATGATTTTTTTTTTTTTTTCTTCACGGTAAATGAAAAATATACTGTTTTCATAACTTTGTTACCAAATCTTATGAGGTATTAAAAAAAAGAGTCATTGCATATTTTCAAGCATAATGTTTATTATAGGAAAGGATTAAACAGAAAGGGAAAAGTTAAGTAAATCAATAAAGGAAGAAAAGATCACAGTAATTTAATTACAGGGTACATTGAGGCTTTATTTTAAATTTATCAGAATATTTAGAAAGTTAAAAGCAGTGTCTAGTTATATGTGCTCTGATTAAATAGTCTGTAGGCTGGCATATTAATATTTGAGGCAGCTTACCTACCTTTCATCTTTAAATTGGTTTAAATATAATACCTAAGAAATAGAAACTTTAATGAATACAAAAAGAAAAAGGGCTTTAAGAAAGTGAATTCCATACAGATTAATTACGGAGAAAGAACACTTTAGGAAAACAAAATATGAAGGAGAGTGACAATATCTGTTAAATTACTATTCGAATGCCAAAATTAAGACTTATCTATAATCCAGCATAGTTATATGCAGAAAATTTCGAAGAAGGCACTTGATATTCAGCGTATTTTAAAACTATTTTTCATATTAATGTTTTTATAGTGTGTTTTTATTTAAATAAAAATTATATTCATATCTTTTCATAATTTTTACGCTAAAGCTTCTACTTGGCAGTCGTTTGAAAGAGAATCATAAGTGGAATTTTCACAAATGACACTCCAAAACTTTTAGTTATCATGCTATATTCAAAGAATAACTCCTAAACACACTGAACTTCGGGCTTTATTTTACATATTATAAGGCATTATTCATAAATCAGCGTTTATATCCCTTGTTACTAGACAACACTCATAAAGCTCTTTTGCTTTGCTTCATGTATACTATATCACATTTATTATGCAAAAGGTCTTCCAATTTATTTGCAATTTATGGAACTTTAAATTAACTGAACTCATGGAAAAAAACTCTGCAAATA